TGCATAGAACCAATCTGTATGTGTAACTGTTGCAACTGTTGCAAATGTCTAAATTACTTGTTGTGCATGTGGGGCAAAAAGTTCCCGAAATAAACCAGCTCCGTCAGCTCCGTCTTTCTTTTCTCTGGGCTTACAATTTTGGCTAGGGATGGGCGTATCGATCCAAAGTATCCATATATCGATACTGACGCGAGTATCGATACTCAAACAAAAAAATATCGATACTAAGGTAAGAGGTGGAGGTACTGGTCTGCTTATCTCTAATGATTGGAAATTTAAAGGGATAGTTCACCCAAAAATGAAAATTTGATGTTTATTCATTCATTCATTCATTATTTATTTATAAAGCACATTTAAAAACAACCCAGGGTTGACCAAAGTGCTGTACAGATAACAGAAGTCAAGTAAAGATACAAATGATAATATCTCAAAAAAAAAAATAACAATAATAATAAATTTGAAATCCACACTAAGCAAATGTGTTTGATTGGCTACAAGAAGGTGGTGGACCCGCCCTCCCCCTCACGCTTGTAAAACTCAGTTAGTAATAGTGAGAGAATCGTGCCAAAATTGTAAGTGCAGATAAAAGTAAGACAGAGCTGTACATATCGGTTTATTTCGGGAACTTTTTGCCCCACATGCACAACAAGTCATTTAGACATTTGCAACAGTTTTTTTTTATTACACTTACGAATAACAGTAAAATGCTGCAAATAATTTTTTCTTAGTGCGTTCACACCGCCGCCGTCGAGATCGTCAAAGTAGCCAGAAGTCATTCATTTTCAATGTGAGCCGGCGTCGAGCAGCGGCGCGACTTGGACGTTGAGGGCGTCGAGGAGAGTTGAAATCAGGTCAACTTTATGGTAATGAGCTATGACGCGGTTCGGCGGCATCTGGCGGCAACCAGAGCTGTAGAGAGAGAGAGTTGTGACAACTCCGTTCACTCCAGAATACTATGAATTCGGACATACTACTCGCCTCGCATACTGTTTTTCGCCTACTATGGAAGTATGCGATTTCGGACGCAGCTTCTCTTTCCATGAGGGACTCATACACAACTATTACAAAAGGTGAAAACATGTACTGATGCTCAAGAAGGCCACACAATGCATTAAGAGATGGGGGGTGTAAACTTTTTTAATTGGATGATCAGGGTAAATTGGACTTATTTTGTCTTCTGGGAAACATGTAAGTATTTATGTAGCTTCTGAAGTCCAGTTCTAAATGAAAAAATAAGATCATCAAAATAAGAAGAATTTACACATCATCATCCTGTTCAAAAGTTTACATCCCCAGGCTCCTAATGCATTGTGTTGCCTTCTTGAGCATCAGTACATGTTTTCACCTCTTGTAATACTTGTGTATGAGTCCCTCAGTTGTCCTCAGTGTGAAAATATGGATCTCAAAATCATACAGTCCAAAGTACTATTTTACTTGCAAGACTTAAAGGAATACTCCACTATTTTTGAAAATAGGCAAATTTTCCAACTCACCTAGAGTTAAACAGTTGAGTTTTACCGTTTTCTAATCCATTCAGCCGATCTCCAGGTCTGGCGGTAGCAATTTTAGCTGTAGCTTAGCATAGATCATTGAATCTGATTAGACCATTAGCATCTCGCTCAAAAATGAAGCTTTTTTTGAACTTCCGTCAACATAACCAACGTGACCACCTGCTTGCACAGGGAGAGTGCTGGGGACTATTTTCAGGCGCTGCATAATATTTATTATACAAATATATACAAATAGCCTACAGAATATTCCTTTAAATTAACACCGTATATTATGCCCTACTCTTATGGATTTTTAATTTAATCTAATTAAAAAAATAATAATTTTGTTTAACCTGTAGAAACAACAGTAATTCTACATACTGCATAATAAATGATACAAGAGCATTTTAACATTTCAGCAATTACAAAGCTAGTTTACAAGTTTGCATATTTACACATGGTACATAAACATACACTCTTAAAAATAAAGGTGCTTAAAAGGTTCTTCACAGCGATGCCATAGAAGAACCATTTTTGGTTCCACAAAGTACCATTCAGTCAAAGGTTCTTTAAAGAACCATCTCTTTCTTACCTTTTTATAATCTGAAGAACTTTCTATCGCCACAAAGAACCTTTTGTGAAACGGAAAGGTTCTTCAAATGTTAAAGGTTGGAATCAATTGGACAAAAAGGTTCTTCTATGGCATCGTGAAGCACCTTTATTTTTAAGAGTGTACACACACACACAGGATGATTTATTTTTATCAAGCCAATCACATTATTTTGCCCATAAACCTTATGAATCTGATGTTTCTGAAATGGAAGTTGGAATAGTCAGGAAATATTTATTCTAATCAAAATTACAGTTGTTTGCTATGTTGAAATTAAAGTATGACCAGGGTCACAACATGAAAATAAAATATTTAGAAAATATTAACACATAAACTACATTGAAATTACTCACTAGAAGCAGATGAGTAATCACTTGTAGAGGAAACTACAATAAAACACAAAAAATAAGAAATGGACATTAATTATTTGAAAAAATCAATTCAACGCATTCAACACAATATTATTTACAAAATTATCCTTATATGGTATCTTTGAATGAATCTGTCCTTTAACGTCTCATTGTACTGTTTCATGTCTTGTATTACCTGATTGCCATCTTCTCCTCATGATCCATATGATAGCAGCCACTGTCAATAACGCCAACCCCAATACACAAACACAGAGTAAGTCACTGACTCAAATGTTTCCCCTGTATACTCTGATAACAAAACGTTACAAATACATTAATTTTTCAGATAAATTATTTTATGTGCACTAGTCTCATGTGAACTAATTACCTAAAGTTACGTCCAGTTTGTTGTCCAGACTGAGGTGTGTGGCAGAGCAGGTGTATTTGTGTTTGTCTGCAGCTCTGATCTCCAGACTCTTCCTCATCTGGTACGTCCCGTCAGCATTGGGCAGCAGATCTCCTCCAGTGATCTCATGATCAGCTACAGACTGCTTGTCTCTGAACAGGGTCAGGTTGATGTGACGAGGGTAAAATCCTGTTGCCAAACAACTCACACGAAACCCTCCAGAATCTGAGTTTGCTTTCTGGATAAGTCTGACTCTGGGTTTCACTGCAGAAGAAAGTTAAAAAAAGAGATAAATGCACACCTGAAAACATGATTATTTTTTATATACATATTTATCATATAAATATAAAAAATAAAGATAGATTCATTTTTCTTAGTAACAATCTAAACGGTTATACATTCACATTTTTGACGATAATAGAAAAACAGTTTACAATGTTTACTTTTGTGGAAACAAGTCATCACAATCTGTGGAAAGTGGTCCATACCATAAAGAGCATGTGCTACCAAAATGTGTACAGTAGGAGTAAGTATTTCTTTTGCTCTTGTGTACACACAACCAAAGAAATCTTTAGAACACAGTAAAAAACGCAGTGTCAGTTTAACACTTAAAGTGTCGATTTTAACACTACTAAAGATCATATATGGTCCCAATCTGTCTAGTGTTAAAAGTACACCGTTCATAGTGTTGAATTTTTAGTGTTAATATAGCACCTTACAGTGTAGAAAAATTACACTCCGAGTGTAAAGTGTTACACTTGCTATTGTTGTTCAAATTTTACACTATGGGGTATTTAACACCCCTGGTGTTGTTTTAATCCTTTAAGTGTTATTAATAAAGTACTCTTTTCAGTGCAAACAAAAAAATGCTATTGTATGGTGTTAATGTGACAAAAATAACACTCAAGGTCAGCTCTCCAACTGATTTTATTTACAGTAGTCTTTCATATACAACCCATCTGCCAATATTCCCGTTGCACACCGTTTCCAGGAAACATGTCGTTCAAACCGGAAACCGTAGCAAAACGGAGCACACCGGTTTGAGCTTGAACTTGCCCCAGGCCTCGGTGGGAATGAAGGCGAGAGGATCTGTCAGCGAACCTGACAAAAACACGCGCAGTTAGTAATTTCTCAATGTGTTCACCTTTTTTATTCCGCACTTTTAGTGTAAAAGTGAAATTACACCATATAACAACACTGAACACGAGTACTGTTTAACACTGTATATTGTTAATTCAACTCTTTGGGAATTAATAACTTTTAACACTGCAAATATTACACTGCTGATTTTACTGTGAATGCATAACTGGTTTGGAGAAGTGACACGCCCATAAAGTGTGTAACACGACCATGTTCCAGAAATAAAAGTAATAACAGTGCAAATCCTGGTGAAGAACTACTCTACCCATGATTCTGCAAAGAAACCCCTAAATATTCACTTTCCTAATTATTTTGTATTTTTGATTGTTAGTCCCAATTAAATGTTTTTTTTTTCTCCATTGTTTATGCCTGCTGTCCACAACACCATCAGAACAGGTCCACTATCTTAACTTTTGGTTCTATATTTTGTTCATTTTTAAGATAAATCGGGTAAAATTGTGCATGTGACTAACCTTTCCTGTTGACTTGATTTCCTCTCTTTTTAAGGTAACCCTTCAAAGTTTCCATGCAAAGTGAATAGTAAAAGTTTTCATAGTGATATTGGAGTAATCTTAGAACTGGCTGGACAGTCTTTGTATGGAAAGAAGAACTGAAAGTTGTCTTCCTATTAAGAAAATGCAGCTCAACTACGGTGGATCCTCCTGTAGCACCCTTAGCTGTAATCTGCCCTGACTCCATGTTGTCCAACATTTCACAGTGAATCAGTATCTGATGAACATCAAGACCTGTGAGTGAGGAAGAAAGTGAATGCTCATTCAGGCTCCAGGCCAGCTGCACAACCACTTATCATATTTTCATGATATCTCATGAAATCTTGGCCTAAAAGTTTTTCGTTGTTGTAGTTCACAGTATAAATCCTTTTTTTAAATATAATTCTTAAATACAACCTTTATACATTTTGAATCTGAATACGTTATTGTCGGGTCCATATCAATACCATGTATTATAAATTTCTGTCCCCACCCACTTGTTGTAAAGTTAATCAATTCTTTATTGAACCAATATTCATAACACTATGTGTACATTCTATGTAGACACTGAAATTGTTACAACATATCCCTCACAACATTCATTGTAATGCTGTACTTACTGTTTGTATGATTATCACGTTGTATCTTAATTCTATAGTTGATAGACTTGTACATATTATTACTTATATCCATGTGATAATTTTCGCCAAATGTGTCATCATCTTCTGTTGTATTTCCTCTCACCAAATGGAGCTTTCTCTCTGAATCGTAATATCCAATTATAATGTCATCCAACATATATGTGATACCAAATTTAGGAAAAGGTGACTGCCCTTTAATGTAAGTTGCAAGCAACCATAAAGAGTGAGAAACAACAACCAAAACAATTGATAAAATTCAACAATATGTGAAGTGCACAGTAATAAGAGATTCAATAAAATGCATAGAGAAAAGTAGTGGGAATGTCTGCCTGGAACTACAATTAACTAAGTTAACTGTGTGAAATCATCAAGGTTTCATTACATAAACTTCATTTCATTTATTGATTGTAGCAATAATTCAAAACGGCCTCCATACTAACAATGTAACTGAGAATACAAATATCCATACACATTGCAAGTACAACAAGTAAAAGGCTGTTTGTAACATCTCATATAACATATCTATATGAACAAGACGCAGAGTTTAAGTCTGAAAAAGAGAAAGTGTGTGGTTAGCAGACTGCTAAATAACTACTCGGCACATTTACTTGTAATAAAATTATAGACAATAACACATTTTCATTTTGCAGTCATCAGAGGACTTACCCTTTGAAGCAGCTGTTGGTAGTAAAAGCACAAAAAGGAGCAGATTTTTGTCCATATTGTTGAGCATGCGGTGTATATATCTCTGTGATCACAAAAACTATGTGTTCAAAGATCTGGACAATCAAGTTTGTGCATTTCTTAACACCATGACATGAATACTTCAGTTTTAGTTTTACTCTTCCTTTCTGTGTAATCAGTGTAGCTGATATGTTTTATCATTTGTATTACTAAATAACTCAAAATATTTTTTTTCCTTTTTGGGCCACTTTGCACCAAAGATATACATTGAGGCTTTAAGTACATATCCCTGTTTCTGTCCCAATTTACTCAGCAACAGACAGTTTAAATGAGAACAACCTAAAGAAGGTAAATAACATACAGTGTGATCCAAAAGTGTGTATAACCATACAGTGTTGACTTGTGTTGTCTATCTATCTGACTGCTTTATCTTTCGGTCTGTATCTGTTGGCACCCAGACTAGGTCAAAACAGCAAATACAATGGCATTCATGACAGCAGGAAAAAAGTTTCTCTTTTAAAAGCCAAAAGCAGGTAACCAGTAGCACTGACCAAACCACTAGTGGTGTCTTTTTTCAGTATGTGAAAAATATTTAAACTCTTCACCCAAAAATAAACATTTGATGAAAATGTACTCACCTTCAGTTCATCCCAGATGAGTTGCTCACCAATGGATCCTTTGCAGTGAATGGGTCCCATCAAAATGAGAGTCCAGACAGCTGATAAAAACATAATAATCCACAAGGAATAATCCAGATCCAGTTCAAAATGTAACGTTTGGTGAATTGAAAAGCTGCATGTTTGTAAGAAACAAATCAGTCATTAAGGTGTTTTATCCTGAAAGTCCTGTTTGGTCTCTGTTTGTTGCCTGTTCCTATTGTCCTCTGACATCAAAATCCACCCACATACAGTATTTGATTTGTTCACAAACCGCATAAACACATTTCATTACACCAAATACACCAAATAATGTTCTTTTTAGCAGCATCATATGACCCCTTTAAACTGTTTCTGCTTGTAAACTGTGCTTGGTTTGTGCATATTTCTCTCCTGATTCAGAAAAGACGACTTCCATGGAAGTACCATGAAGAAAACAATATTATGGATATACGACTCATATTTTAGCCAGAATAAAGTAAAAAAACATTGTGATTCATTTATTTATAACACATATTTTCACTTCACAAGATGTTAATTGATGGATTGGAGTCTTGTGGATTATTGTTTTATTTTATATGTTTGGACTCTCATTCTGACGGCACCCATTCACTGCAGAAGATTCATTGGTGGTAAAATAATGTAATCCTAAATTTCTCCAAATCTGTTGTGATAAAAAAAAAAAAAAACTTATCTACATCATGGATGGCCTGAGGGTGAGCAATTTTTGGGTAAACTATTCCTTTAAGAAGTGTTGTTCAAAGACTTTTCTCCATTCATCCATGTGGCTTCATGATGAACATTTCTTGATTTGTCCACAGTTTCTTCAAATGCTAAAAATGTTTTGAGAATTATTTAAAGGTGCAGTAGGAGATCTCAGAAAATGCTAACTTTAGCAAATTAACGTCGGACTGAGCGTTTTGATTGGACGAACATTTTTTGGTCCTACGCCTTCCACAGAATATATAAATACATATAGGCTAATACATTTAGACCACTTAACCCTTTAACGTGCACGATCACACCGGTGTGATCACTCTAGGCCAGTGTTTCCCAACCTTTTTTTAGTCGCGGCACCCTTTGGAAATTTTAACAAACTTGTGGCACCCTACAAAATTTATTTTGTCACAATATTTGAATTTCTAACTTCGATGTGATAATTTGAAAAGTATAGATATTCGGTACAACAGGGAAGAACTGCAGAATATAATGTCATACAGATATTTTTAATATTATTAAAAAATTTTGTCCATCAATGGTGGCAATCAGTAGGCTAATTTCTAATGAAGAGACCAATTTATATGACAGATTTTAATGTAGGCTTTTATACATATGTAAACATTATTTAATTACCATTATAACTATCTCACAAATTTTTGCTCACTCAAGTGTTTTTTTTTATTTTACAGTGGGGTAATTTTGGTGCAGTAGCACGAGATAGCTTGATTTCAAACTCTGAATTGAATAAAAAATTACAAGTAAGCAGTCAGTAATAAAATAAGAACAAATAAAGAAATTAATAATGATAGCACAAATAAAAAATAACGACAGGCCTTCAAATTAAATTAATTGCTTTTTAGTTTTTCATGTAGGTCTAACAGTAGGGTAAAGATATTTAACTTTTTTTTTTTACCAATTATCCAAATAATGTTTAATCCTAGAAAGCTATAAT